GCAGAAAATCTCAACTGGTCGTTTACTTTCATCTGGTACCAACTTCACAGACTTGCAGTCCTTTCTCTTCACGCCCCTTGCGTGTTTCTAGGCGTGGTGTCTGGACAGAAGGAAGGATGGATGAAAGGCCGACTAGATGGTCAAATAAACAGTGGAGAAAGTGTTGAGATTGGTAGATTGGTGGATACGTGGAACTGTGAACGGGCGGGTGGGTTGTAAGGAATAAGTCGATGTTTAGAATGGAGGAAAGGATGGTTAGGAGGAGACGTATGAACGGAACAGCAATTCTTGTAACAACGGAAAAATGAATTATCAGTAACTTGAAGGCGTGGGATGCCTGATTAGGCGTGTGGGTGACAGATGTGAGATTGACGGAAATTTTGAAGCAACGCGTTAAAAACTTTTAATTTGAAAATGAATTTTAATGGCGCATAGACATGAGGTGAGAGTGTGGTCTTTGCGGGTAGGACACTCCTTCCACGTCGTCACTGCACCCACGTAAGAGAGAAAAGAAGTAGATTTTCAAGCGGAAATGGAGTAGTAATATAATCAAAATATTGATGTGAGCATTTTAAGACTGAGACATATACTAGCAATTCCATGGAAGATGCTTACTTACTTATTCGTGGAGCTGAGCCCTTCTGGAAAAGCCGCCAATTCTGCAGCTACTCAAGAATTTCCCAGCATTTTATGGAACCCGAAGGTTCATTACCGTGTTCATTTAAATTAAATTTGTTGCTAATAATTTTTCTTTCTGTTTCTGCTTATGCGCGAATTTTTAATTTTTATACCCAGTACGAATGCAGAGAAAATATATGGAGTACCCAATTTAAAGCCTTGCTGAAATTTTAATTAGTAGAGTTTTGCGAAATTTTATTAATAAATTTCTTGTTCTTTCATAGTAAGAAAATTTCCATAATGACGTAATTGTTATTGAAACTTACGTATTACATACAGTCCTAGATATTCCAAAAGTTCTGTGGAAAATGGTTGAAATTAAAGGCAGACGCCAAGGTAAACAGAGTACTTATTGAAGGTTTATATTCTCTCAGCTGACCAATAAATTTTCCGCATTTTGTCTAACTCAAAGTTTTATATCCTTGCTCACATGGACCGTCCACTGGCCTCTCTATATCATAATGTTTATAATTCGAGTTCGCAGTCCCGCGCTCTTTTTTTCGCGATAGATCAACTCGTATTATTCTCCCGCTTACATCGGAGTCTCAAAAGTATAATTTCATCAGGTTTGCCAACTAAATTCTTGTAAGACAATTGTAACAATTCAGCATCGGTTATGGCTCACGGCACGCAATTAATGCAAAGACAAAATTTGCTTAAAATATATATGTTGAATTTGGATACATTTATATTATTGTGGAGGTCATTTGTAACCTAACATTTTTTTTTATCGAATTATCATTTTCAAGCTAATCTGTATTGATAAACTGATCATCCTTCACATATGAATCTCTCAGAATTTGAAGAGTAAGTACAGATGCTACAATTTTGTAGAATGGTATGAAACAATTTACAAAGCAATGTGCAGACTGACTAGAAAATAAATCAAATGGCAGTAATAAAATTTTAATTACAATTTACGTAGCCTATATAGCAGAAAGATGGTCACGGTAGCCGAGCGGTCTAAGGCATGTAGTGTCTTCGCTCTCTCAGAAGCCGGGATCGTGGGTTCGAATCCCACGTAAGGCATTGATGTTTGATATGTGTATGCGGTTATTCTGTGTTTGTGTTGCCCTGTGTTTAGGTAGAGGCTTTGCGACGAACTGATCACTCGTCCAAGGAATCCTACCTCTGTAAAATGATATTGAAACTGAAAAAAAAAACCAGAGGCCAGAACCCAAGAGGACTGCAGAGCCAGCGAAAAAAAAAAGAGAAAACTCTCTCACCAATACGTATTAACGTTACGAAATTTTCTGGCACACTTTCTTTTGGCACACCCAGTCACATCAAACTGTTGCTGCTGACACTCGTCTCCGTTCAAAACGACTCAGTATGACTTGCCAACTAGCGCACACGTATCTTGCAGACGAAGAGAAATCAATCAGCTATTCGCAGCCTTACTCTACCACGAACTATATTCTTTCGAATCTTGATAAAGGCCAACAGTGTAGAAAGTACAGCAGGAAGTGGCTGAAGACGGGTTCTCGAGGCAAGAAGCCAGGGCGGTGCTACGTTGACCCGCCCGCCCTGGTCGAACCAGCGCCTCTGGGGAGGAAATTTTCCATCTCTCTTCTCACAGGTGTTCACTGCGTTCCAGGCTCCCCATTCATCTCTGACCGTTTCTTCGGGCAATACAGCCTTCATGTAACAATGGGACAATCGTCTTATCAATTAATGGAACACTTGTGCACGTATGCCTCGACCTAGACCTGCACTGATATGGTACGAAACAAATAGGCGAAGTACTGCTCTTCACAACTAAATGCAGGACATTACTATTGTCTGCGTATATAGACATCTCAATGCCCTTATCTCTTTCTCTGGTTTCATAATTCATATTTGGTTCCAAGGTATGTGTAGATGATGTGCATTGAAATTATTGTGAAAGAGCGAATCAAGGAACGTGAAATACGCGCGTGGGACATGTTGCTACCAGGAAGTTGACCGACTGAGTGACTATTAACTTCCCAAAGATTCTGCATTTTTGGGCTAATTAATTAATTAATTTGTTAGTTAATTATTTAGAAGTACGAGTACTACAGTTGATGTTCTGGTTTCTCATAGCGCGAAACAGGAACTAAGGAACTATTTCTAATACACGTATATAGCGATATTCATTTTGAGGTCTTACTGAAATGCTGTTCCAGACCTCGTTTTTTGTGATTCGCATCTGAATTTTTGAACAAGCAATTATATGCAATATGGAACCCATCAAGCATCATATCTAATGAGAAGAAGACCTACTTACGGTGAAGATAAGGCTACTGGAGTTGGACACTTACCTCTACCTACTGCCGAGGACCATCATATGTGGAACTTTACCTCCACGGCTTCTACGTACCTTCAAGTCCTGTTCCATTGTCATGTGGGACGGAATTGTACTTGTTACAGCCCATTATACATTGTATGGGGTAGCATAAAATTTATCTGCACTGCATTTCGGAAATTATCTGCTCTCATTTTCAGGCCCGTGTTATAGTAGACACCATAGTTTGGTATACAGAGGATTTTTGGTTTGATCACATTGTATTCGATAATTATCGGTCAGTGTAGTTACACCTGATCACCTGAAAATTTGGGTGAAACAAACTACCAAATATGTAAGATTTGAGGCTTTCACGGCCGTGACTATGAAGAAAGCAGTCTGCTTTTACCGGTTCTCACGGTCTCTTCGCTTGCGGATTTCTTATATTTTTCCTTCTACCCTGAAGATGGAGGCGATAGATTCCTCCGAAACGTCGGTTAACACCACATATACACGGTGCCAAATCCCAAAAGACTGCTTTCTTCAAACTATCGAATCTTTATAAGATAGGCAGTGGACATTAAAACAGTTAAAATAACCAAATCATGTGCGAGGAAATCAATTAGCCATAGTCTTCAGTAAATTATTTACTTACATCGAGTGATGCGTGGAAATATATCGCTTATGCTTGAAATTCCAAATACGAGAGCAAGATGTAGGCCAATTGCCTTGTAAGTAGTGGTCAAGCACTACGTGAAGCCAAAACAACAACAGTAATAATAATACGCCTCCATGTATTCAGTGCAATAAAACATTATTTCTTTTAGCTCGAAGCTTTTTATTCTGCTATTCATGTAGGATTATATCCTTGTGTGATTGTGTAAACATAATGGCACTTCGTTTTTATATTACAGCAGGGCTGCATGGGTACCTTATACTTTGTCTGGACATGTATAAATTTGATCCGTGGAGAGCTGTCAATATTTCAGTTCTTCTGAATAGAATGGGAACTGTATTTGACTTAATAATCGTGTTGTTACTGAGGTGGAATATAAATTTCCTACTTTGTAAACCCCTAAGGTTCCAATGGATTGTTTTGTGTGGGTGATAGAGGTAACTCGTGTAATGTCGCAGATGTTACCTCTATTTCTTCACTTCTCTGTAATTGTTTCTCGGTTTCGCAAAAGAAGAAGTAACTACAACTTGTATTAGACTCCAAAATAATCATTGATATTTTCCATTAAAATAAATTATTTTTGTTCCTGCAAGAATACAAAACTGTGGGTAAGAAGTTATACAAAATAAGTGCTGCTATGGATTTAAATCGCTTGTTAGAGATTGTATGTCTAAAAATAGGCAAACATCTTATTTCCAAAATCCTTAATTTTACACCCATGGCAAAAAAACTTTTAGAGTTCGTTGTCACACACCATTTAATTGGAAGCATAGAATCTTAATGTCACGCAAATTGGGAAGCTAAAACAGCCAGAGAACAATTTTGATATCTTTTCCTAACATGGGCACGCAATAGCATAGTTGATTGAGGCACTATGCTACAGGCCGGAAGGTCGCGGGATCTAATCCCGATAAGGTTGATTTCTTCAATTTACCTATTCCTTCCAGCTGCACTATGGCCCTGGGGTCAACTCAGCCTCTAACTGAAATGAGTACAAGTAATATTTCTGGGGGTAAAAGGCGACCGGATCGTAAGGCTGACAATCTAACCGCCATCTGTGAGCCGATTGTCTAGAAAATGCTGGAGCGTCAACATCTCGCAACGCTATGGGCCTTCACGGCCTGTGACAGGGATACCTATTTCAACATGAGGTTTTAATATGCAGATCTTCAGCTTCAAATTAGATTAGAGACTAGCGCGACTTTTTCTCAAAGTGGCCTGCTCTGTACTGTTACCAAAGAATCCCTGAAATTAAGTAAGAAATGCATAATTATTTCTGTAATGATTCGTTATGTGTGATGATGAACTTATCCAGATTTGTCTCTTAGCAACGAACAACAGACCCAAACTACGTCAGCACTAATCCACATCTAATCGCAATAATATTTTCTGTAATTTTAGAAAGCGGAAGGACATCGGGGGGGAGGAGTACGTGCTGGGGCCCCCCCTCCCGACACGTACCGGAACTCCCCTGGCCCGCATGACTGAAATGCCACCATCAGGAGAACCCGGAGGCGGTGGTGCTCCTGGCGAAGACGGAGGATGGCGAACAGCCTACTATAGCAATGAACATCCTCTGACAGCTGCCACAACGGCCATGTTGAACATCAGCGGGGGTGGCGCAGAGGAGCCCACACAGTCCATGGGCTTCATCTACGAGTACTGCCGATTGCCACAGCTGTCTGCCACAGTCACCGATAAGGATAAACTGGAAATATGGCCGTGAGTATAGAACCGATTCCTACAGTGCTCCCAGGCTACCGTACTGAAACTGTATTTCCTCCCGCTGTGCTACATGTTAAGAATGCCTTTTCAAAAAGTCATAAATCAGTGCCGTCCAAAACGAAAGATAATCGCAACACATTGAAGAAGGTACATACTCGTTGGTGTTTACGCGTATGCTACTGCCCTCTGTAGTAGATTAGGGCTTGTAGGAAACATGAAGGATCTGTTCCACTGACATCTATGGACAGCGGTAGGAAATAAAAACTTCTGACAGTCGTACAATACGTGTACACCAGTCGTTGTAGAGTCCTATAGCTTAGTTCATTCTTAGATTATGTAACGACAATGTTGCACCTCCGTAGCTTGGTTTCCTCTCTTAAGATGATTATGAATGATGAATGGATGTTTGGAAGAAGGAGACATGGCCTGGTCATACTGTTGCGACATCTTCCGGGGTGAATTGGAACTACCAGAAGATTCACCAATTTTTGCAGGTTTAATTCTGACGAACCGCGCATGTCTCAAGTAAAAATTTAGATTGGTAACTGAGCCACTAGTAGATGATTCAAGCGGTAATACTTCTGACGACTCATATTCGGACGGAACCCAATTCGAATCTTGGAAAAGATATCGATTATCCGGAATAAAGATTTTTTTTTTGTGGTTTCACTGAGTTCCTTCAGGCAAATAGCAACTTAAATTAGGTCATGACCTCTTCCTTCCATATTTCTTCCAGTTCATTATTCACTGTCCTGGAGTCTCTCGACGTTGTGTAGTCTCCGTTACTAACGCCTTTCAATAAACTACAAATAAACAAAAAGGAAGGTTAAGGGCAAAATAATCAACTAGGAAGTGCACTTCTATCCACCACGACTGTACAGCCTGTGTACCCCACAGTTTCAGGCTCTACACTCCATTACTTAAATGTTTGATTGCCTGTAATTTACACTTATGTTTCGCACACTTCCTTCCGTCTTTAATGCAACTTTGTTTACAATTTCCCCTTAATTTAAAATGGGGGCACGCGGTAGCGTAGTAGCTTGAAGCACTATGCTACAAGCCGGAAGGTCGCGGGATCGAATCCCAATGAGGTGGATTTTTCAATTTACCTAATCCTTCCAGCCGCACTATGGCTTTGGTGTCGACTCAGCCTCTAACAGAAATGAGTACCAGGAATCTTCCTTGGAGGTAGGGCGGCCGGCGCGTAAGGCGGACAATCTCACCGCCATCCGTCAGCCGACTGTCTAGAAAATGTAGGAACCTCAACATCTCACAACCCCATGGGCCTCCACGGTCTGTTACAGAGATACCTTTACTTTTTTACTTTACCTTAATTTAAAATAATATTAAAATCACAATCAGAGGCTACATGTTTCGGCATTACTTGTCCATCCTCAGGAAACTGTTCATTTGTTTAAATTATTACTGTGCATTAGTTGAAGTATTCCAGTGTTCTTGTATTTTCGTCGTTCACATAAAAATACAATACAATACAATACAATAACAATAAAGTGACGTACGCTCGACTAAAGCAACTGCGTGGGTACATACATACTAATGGTGTACATAAAATAACAACGGTAACAGCAGCACGCCAACGTTCATAGAGCCAAAGAAAACAACACAAATATCACGGACGCTGCGGGAGGAAGGTAGGGTAAGGAAAATCATGGGCGATGTTCACAAGCAAATATATATTAATAAGAACAACGAAAATACAATAATAATAGAATATTTTAATACAAATGTTATGTTTTTGGACATTATCCATCGTTGGTTGAGGGGCTACGCTACAAGCCTGAAGGTCGTGGGTTCGAGTCCCGATGAGGTAATCGGATTTTTTGTCAATTGACCTAATCCTTCCAGCCGCACTATGGTACTATGGCCCTGGGGTTCACTCAGCCTCTAACATAAATGAGTACCAGGAATTAATTAAATAATTTTCCTGGGGAGTAAAGCGCGGCCGGCTCGTAAGGCTGACAACCTTACCGCCATCTTCGAGCCAATTGTCTAGATAATGTAGGACCCTCAACGTCTCACTACCCTATGGGCCTTCACGGTCTGTTACAGGGATAGCTTTACTTTTACCTTTTACTTATTGACTTGTATTTATCTAAAAGCACTGTCCTGTTTATTTTTCAAAACACAACGTTTAGGAGACTGGATTCGATTTCCGTCTTCAGGTAAAGCCTAATCAGTTGGGCCCAATCAATAGAGCTAGCCCAAGTAGCCCACTAAAACCAGCCTAGTTTTCAAACGTCTAGGACAATGTAAAACTTAATATTTTCTGTCACTTTGTTGCACTATTTTGTTATTGGTGGTAGTGTTCCTCACAAAAATTTTAAATTCGGAGGGCTATTAGAGTCATAATCGTTCCAATTTTCACGAAAATCGGTCAGTTGGTGTTCATGGTATTGATGTCTGTATTTGAATCTTATTGGTGAGAGGACAGAGCAGGTTCCACGGGAACTCAAATAACTTAACTCCCCTTAAGGAGGATATCCAGGGCCGCGCCATAGCTCAAGCGGTTAGTCGCTGGATTCCCACCGCAGCGGCCCGGGTTCTAGCCCGGGTCTGGTCTAGTGGGATTTGGGGTGGACAAAGTGGCGCTGGGGCAGGTTTTCTCCGAGTACTTCGGTTTCCCCTGCCAATCTTCGTTCCACCAATTGCTGCACAATCACTCTCACCGATCATCTGGGGCTGGCACAATAGGCCAGAAGTGGCTGCAGTACAAGGGACTTAGTCCCACCCCACTAGCAATAAAAGAAATCCGCTCGCTTTTTACAGATACAGGAACATGAAGGTTATTGTCATGAATGTTTTTTAATTAGTTACAGAAAATACTCTTCTGTCATTTAAATTCTTACTTGGTAAGTGATTGGTGCATCCTGTTCTCTCTCATCTCACGCCCAATAATTTGTGACTGTCAGCCTTATTGTCAAATTACAGTTGAAAATACAAGTGTGTGTTTTTGTAGAACTGTCGATAGAACAGGTAACTGTTTACACGATTTTTCAATTTAGTAGCTACCATATTCGGCGTGCAAGTAATATCATATTGGAGCGTTATTTGATAGTAGTAAATTGCTTTGTTTGTCATGTTTTGTTTTAATGTGAGTGTACTGGGTGCCTCCAGTCAGTTATTGCATCCTATACTCAGGTTCGAATTAAAACCATGTATCCTCCCATAATATTAATGCCTGGTCCCAGACAGTTTCGGGCAATAGCAAATCTGCACACACCTTCATTGTTGCGTTTAGCGGGTATGTTCCATTTCGGTTGAAGTAGCTGCAGGGAGTGAGGTGCGCAATGCCGGACTCGCTCGGTCCCGTTTGAATGAAGAATGTTGTGTAATAAGCATTATGCTTCTGGTATAATTTCAAACCTCGAGCCACATTTCTGAGCTAAGTATGTCTGTACTTAGAGGATATTCACGCAATATTTTCAGCACGTTAGAACACCAGGAAATGACCTTTCAAACTGTGGAATGGAAACAAATGTGGCTATTCGATATACAGAAAATAAAATGTAACTATATTTAAGGTACTGCCGAAGTTTTATTGGAATCTTCCAATTTCCTTTAGATTATTCTAAGACGTGATGCCGTCTAATCTGGTAGATATTTGTAAACGTTTCGAAGAAACCCACTGTCCCGATCTTCAAAGTAAAAGACAAGAAGAGAGATAGAACAGCGATAAAATTCTACCAGACTACACGGCTTCACATACTAGAAACTGTAATCTTCATACTCAGCCCCGTGATAATCCCAAATTTCTCGTTGCTTCTCTTCCTTTCCACGTAACCATCATCAAGGAAGTTCGGAAGATATTGGTTCGAATATTGGCTGGAAAACTACCTCGAATTAGTTTTTCATGGTTTTACTCAGACTCTCTAGAAATTATTGTGATAGTACCTCAAAAATTTATATCCACAGATTTTGCAATTCAATATCTACTAATCATTCTATTTTGATATACTGACAGCGTTGTTAAACAAACAAATAACATATTGGCGTAAAACCTGTATAATATTTTATGAATGTATGTATATTCTGGAACATGCACTTTTAAGATAATTGAGTGCAAAGTCCACGTTTGGTTTAGAACTACTGGTCTACAATTTGCGACCCGTTGTTATTCGAGGTTCCACAGTTTCAGACGGTCCCAGTTAACGCACAGATGTAATTATGTTGGTTCGCTGAAGGCTTATGTAACCAAAATCCGACATCAGATCTCATCCAGATAAGCTACTTCTGAGTAGAAAAATAATTACTTTTCGTTATGTTTCGACCGGTCTATAAAACAGAATTTAACGGCTGTGAGGATTCGTTGCGCTGACCACGCGACACCCTCTATCTGCTAAAGTTGATACTAAGTTGCCGACAAGCGGCGGTCGCTCGGTCGGTATAGTTCGCTTGCGGACTACAGGCCGTCAAGTTTGTTTTTTCGACATACAATTAAACACTGCAGTTCCACAAATGTCTCTGCTTATATTGCGAGATGATGATGATGAATTGGATTTTATCTCTAGCTAGTACTGATTTTGCTGTAAATACAATGACAGTCAAACTGTATTTATACATCTTATAATGAGAAAAGTAACAATTGCAGTATATTCATTTATTTAGGTAATTCAACATAAGAACCTATGTAAGAATTAGTACAAAATTCTGACGCGCGGTGTTACCAAGAGTCCGTTTGTCCGAACATAACCAAAACAACTACGTGAAGAATTTATTTATATATAATTTGTTTAAAATCGTTGTCAGTAGGTCAGGCTATGCCGTAGAACGATCTGATAATATTGAATTGTATATTATGTTGAAAGATTCGGCTGTGACTTAACAAATAGCGACATATGTCTGGAAGGAACTAAAATAAATCTTTGATGTTTTTCGATGTCCCTGTCAAGAGTCCAGTCTAGCATCTCCCTAATATAAGACAGAGGAGTTAGCTACAGATAACTTGTTCGGTGTGAAGTGATCTTATTATTATAATT